CCAACCACATTGCTGCATTTGCCCTAGATCTAAAGTCTGCATATGAGGGAGAACATATGATTTTTGGTCTTCTGAGCCTGGCTAACCTCACTCAGAATGTTGTTCTCCAGTTCCTTCCATTTACTTGCAAATGATATGATTTCATTCTTCTTCATGGCTGAGTAAAGTTCCATTGTGTATAAATACCAAATTTTCTTGCTCCATTCATCAGTGGTGGGGCATCTTGACTGTTTCCATAACTTGGCTATTGTGCATAGTGCTGCAATAAACATGGGTGTGCAGGTGCCTCTGGAGTAATCTGTGTTGTATTTCTTTGGGTATTTCCCCAGGAGTGGGATTGCTGGATCATATGGCAGATCTATGTTTAGATTTTTAAGATGCCTCCAAATATTTTTCCAGAGTGGTTTCACCAGCTTGCATTCCCATCAGCAGTGTACGAGGGTTCCTTTTTCCCCTACATGCTCGCCAACACATGATGTTGGTGGTGTTTTTGATGATGGCTATTCTAACGGGGTTGAGGTGGAATTTTAGTGTGGTTTTGATTCACATTTCCTTTATGGCTAGAGATGGTGAGCATTTTTTCATGTGTTTTTTGGTCATTTGAATTTCTTCTTTTGAGAAAGTTCTGTCTAGTTCAGTTGCCCATTTCTTAATTTGTTCATTGATTTTAGGAGAGTTTAGTTTCTTAAATTCCCTGTATATTCTGGTTATCAGTCCTTTGATGTATAGATGGCAAATATTTTCTGTTACTCTGTAAAGACAGGATCTCATGAACTATTTGCCTGTGGCTGGTTTTGAACCGCAATCCTCCTGATCTCTGCCTCCTGAGTAGCTAGGCTTACAGGCGTGAGCCACCAGTGCCTGGCTCCATTTTCATGTTCATGATGACTTTCCTTACTTTCCTGGGTCCTGTCAGGTCAGTGAGGTCTTGCTGTAGCCTCCTCCCTGGGCATTTGTTCATGCTGGTCCTTCACTATGTCTGTGTTCTATGGTGAAACGTGTTTCAGTTCCTCACACACACCGTGACAACATTGCATCAACATGTCTTCTTCACATGCTGACACATTTCTCTCTCTATGCTGAGGCTACTCATCCTGTAGGATCCAGTCTGCTTCGTAAGAAACATGGTGCTCATGTGCTCTTTTGGTCTGTGGTGTTTCTTCATATTATGTTGGAGGACATGCATTATGACTACATTGGAAGTATCTGAAACACTATTCAAGTTATTGTAAGTGTGTAAAAAAAAATCGTGTGCAGTAGTGTGAACCCACTTTCTGTGATTTTATAAAAATGAGCCAAACTAGTGCTGCAAGCCAATTTTGTATTTAGTCTATTGTTAGAAAGTGGAACAACGTCTTCGTAAACAGCTTTCTGAAGATGTGAAGATGATGGCTAACATTAGTTCATGGCAGTGTGTTTAAGTCATATTTCCGCTGCATTTCTGCCCTGTTGTCTGAGGAGGGATGGAGTAGTGCTGGGTTCAGTGAGGCATCACACAGCCTGCTCTGTTGGAACTGAACAGTGGTGACAGATGGTGTGTGTTGCCGGTGCTGGCCTCCCTGCACCTGTCTGGGCTACATTTTTTAAAGTGCAGAGCTGTTTTCCCACTTTTCTTAATGGTTCCTCACCCTGACCTGCTTGAGCTCCCAGTGTCCCCCAGTTGTTCCCTCACTTTTCCAAGCCCCTGGTGCCCCTCAGTTCTGCCTCTCCTCTGTTCCTGTCACAGTGCCTGTCATCCATCACTGTGTTTCTTCTTGGGCTGCTGTGTTCACAAGCCCCATGCTCTCACCCAGCAGCTCTTGCTGTGCTCTGCAAATCTTCCTGGCCCACCTCAGTGTGGAGTAGCATGGAGCAGTGCCCCCACCAGGATGTGCTCACATCATAGTGTCTGGCTTGGAACTGCGCTGGCTCTGTCTGTGACAGCATTATTTTCACAATCATCCTACTGTTCATAGAGAACAAGGTCCAGATACCAGTATGCTCACGATTCTTGTAGCCCTCTGGGATTTGATTGCCTAAGAATGAAACCAGGTGGTTACAACTGCTTATGAGAACCTTAAGACCACCGTACACAAGTCCTCATGTTTGCGCTGGTTACCATTTCTGAGGAGCATGACAGGCAGTGGGGCGCTCTCTTCACGTCCTTCCCTCTTTCCAGAGGAGCTGATCCCGAGATACCTTGCCGAGCTCCAGAGCCCAGAGGCGATGACTCGCTGTGGCTTCTCATCAGCCCTAGGCACCCTCCCAGACTTCCTTCTGAGGGGCCGCTTGCAGCAGGTGAGCACAGGTGTGGTGGATGGCAGAACAGGTTGTGGTGTGGGATGGACATGCATCTGACTACTAACCAATCCTGACATGGTGTGCATGGCCACGGGAAGGGAGTGGCAGCCTGGACTCCAGGGTAATGGCTGATCTTGTGCAGGACAAATCTCAGATTGCTGCACTGAGGTCTGAAGGAGGGGAGGGCATTGTTGGTGGAAGTGGCAGGTGTCTCCGTGAGAGCATATTTGCTGCCCTACACAGTAGCCTGGCTGCTGGAGCCAGGCTGGTATGGGCAGTGGCCCACTGGCCTTCTGGGTCCCAGCCAAGGTGTGAGAAGGGCCTCATATGGCAGTGGCAGCTGAGTGGAGGAGAGGGCCAAGCTCTGCTATGTTAGTGCACTGGGCCGAAGACCCTGGACATTTGTGGGCTCCATGCTCCTTGTCCCTGCCTGCTGAGGAGCTTGTTCTGCAGGGTCGAGGCACTGGGGTTCCTCACATTGCCTATGCCTGGGCTGCTGTCCAGCCTTTACCCAAGACAGTGAGACCCCTTCACCTCTGAGTCTCACTTTTTCATACTGCCCCAGTGCTGGCCATTCCTTCTCAGTATCCCGTGTTTGCCTGACCTTGGCTTGTGTCAGGAGTGATCCTGTCCACTCATCTCCACACAGGCCTTGTCCTGTGCTCCCTGAGACAGTCTCAGTGATGGCTGTGCATCCAGCTTGGCTCTGGAGCCTCAGCTCCTTCTCCCCGCCATCCTGTCTCAGGCCCCTAAGCTCTTGTACTTCCCTCTCCTGCTGAAACACAGGTTCAGTTCTGCCAACCCATGTTGCAGGCATCCCTGATTTTGTCTAGGCCACTGTCCACCTGAGTCAGGACTATGGTGGGAACAAGCTTTCGACACATTCACTCCTGAGTAACCTTGGAGCCCTCACCTCCTGTGGAATCAGAGATCATATAAGCTTTCCACAGTGTGTTGGGTGGCCTGTCCAGTTGTGGATGGACAGGCCCTGTGTGGCTGCTGCACTGTCAAAGCCCTTACCTGGGGGGTTTGTCCTCAAGGACGTGGATAAACATGAAGCAGCTTTTAGAAAAGACCTATCATTTCAAGAAGTATCAGCCCAGTTAGAGGAGCCAGAGGGCCGTCCCTCTCCTGTCCCAGGTCTGAGCAGAGTCAGAGGGAGCCCTCACCTTATACTGCTACATCCTGTGCCCCAGGGCCGCATCTCCACCTGCGACAGAAGTGCGTTTACAGGCAAGTGTGGTGGTGCACGCCTGTACTCCCAGCACTGGGGAGGCTGAGGCAGGACGATCATGAGTTTGAGACCACCCTGGATTATGTTGCAAGACCCTGCCTCAAAAAAAAAAAAAAAAAAGATGAAAAAGGTGTTTGCTTTGTAGCTAATGCTTCTTTTGGGGACTGTTGCCCTCAGGTCCTCACAGGTCTGATAGCAGTCACCCGCATTTCTCCCAAGGATGTGAGCTTTGCTGAAGCTCGGAGGGACGGCATGAGGGCGATCTCCAGGTGAGCCTCCAACCAGCAGGAGTGGCGAGCCTGCCATGGGCTGTGGCACCGGGATGGAGCCAGCATATAGAGGCACATTGTTGCCTCTTGTAGTTTCTTCCCTTTCAGAGGGTGACAGGGTACATCTTTGGCCTGGGGAGGCCTGGTGACAGTGTTGTCACAGTGATAACAAATATTAAATCTGTCATGCAGCTGTGTCTTCACTGTGGGAACCACTTTAAGAACTGGGAATGGGCATAGGGACTGGAGAGCTTGCTCAGCGTGCGTGTCAGGTCCTGCAGTCCATTCCCAGTACTGCACAAAACAAAGCAAAACTGGGGGAATGTGCCTCAACTCAAGGCTGGCAAAGCCACAGTGCCTGTAGCTGTGGAGTGACCTTGCCTGTGGACACAGCCTACAGGGCTGTACCTGCCTCTCCCTCCTGCTCCACAGCTCTGTGAGTCAAGTCCCTCCAGCTTCTTGTAGCAGCACTAACCGCCTTGTGGGGGGAAAGGGAGGAGGACTGGCCACCTTACAGGCAGAGCCCCGTTCCTACCCATGTGTGAAGGTGCTCCGGGTATCTTCCTCTGCCCCTGAGGCTCCTGGTCTCTCCTGAGTGTAACTCTTGGGAAGATGTATCAGGCCACTGCAATGTGCAGGACAGGATCACAGACATTCATCAGTATACATTTTGCACATTTTTTTTTTTTTTCATATGTGCATACAAGGCTTGGTTCATTTCTCTCCCCTGCCCCCACCCCCTCCCTTACCACCCACTCCGCCCCCTCCCTCTCCCCCCCCCAATACCCAGCAGAAACTATTTTGCC